TTGGGGCTAGGGGGTGGTTGTTGTTTTCGGGTTTTGTTTTTGTTTTTGAGGGAGGTTGGTTTTCACTTTAATGTTTGTTGTCACTGAGATCCTGAGCTACATATTATTTACCTTTCAGTCTAGTATGTCTCCCTCTCTACATGTTTGTATGCTTTGTCTCTGTCTACATATTTCTCAAAGCCTCCCATCTCTACCTGGTCTTCTACATCAGAGTTCCCTAAATTTTTTCTACTTATGACCCCTTTCACCTAAGAAATTTTGTATGCAACCCCAGGTGTATAGTTAAATAAAATAAGTATACAAATCAAACATTTACTATTAACAAGTTAAAGACAAAAGTAAATTTGCATGCTGAGGTGGATGTGCTTTTTTACATAAATAATTAAATCTTTCCTGAATATTTGATACTGAGACATATAAGGCATCTTCAATGTTTTTAAGAGTTGACTGGTATTTTGATTTTATAACTGTCAATACTGAGAACCTCACTTCACTTAAACACATAGTACAAAATGCCAGAAGTATGGTTAGGGACATTTCACTTTTGCTGGAAATTCTGTCCTATTTTCAAGCTGAAACTCATCTAATTATTTTCTTATGACACTCAAACCATCAACTCAAATGGCAATTTTTTTTATTTTTTTAATTTTTTAAATTCTTTGGCGGTTGTTTGAGACAGGGTCTCTCTTTTTAAGCTCTGGCTGCCCTAGAACTTTCTAGGTAGACCAGACTGCCCTCGCATTCACAGAGGTCCAATTGAAATGGCATTTTTAAAAATCAAATATTCTAATACAATATAATGGCATGCTATTTTGATACTTACATGACAGTAGGAAAGTATTAAAGGTTTTCATTTTCTGCACTTCAACCATTATGTTTTATAAAAGAAAAGGAATTGCATGTGCAACAGAAACACTGAAATTTATAGCATACAGTAGTGTCAAGTCTTCACTGAAGCATTTCAGGTACCATTTGTTGTCATTGGGTTGTATAGTGGCATGTATATGTGTGTGTTGTATACTCAGAACCATGGCTTCAGTAATGTTGCATCTATAATGCAGCATGAGCAACTGCTGTCAGATATGTGTGGATTCATCGAACCTCCGAGATTGAATTAAATTTTGGTCATTACACATCCAGAAATTTTGTAAAATTTCTTGAAGCCTCCACACTCAGTTATGCAACTCATAACTCATTCAGTTACAAACCATGGTTTAAGGAGCTGTGTTCTAGATGAGTGAATGGTTGGTTGGTTGGTTGGTTGGTTGGTTGGTTGGTTGGTTGGTTTTTCCTGTGGCTTTCCTTCCCCACCCTTTCTGTCTCCTCTCTTGCTCATTCATCATTGCTCTGTTATCTATATCTCTTTTAAGCCATTCTTCCTCTCCTCTCTTTCTCTCTTTCTGTCTTTTCCCCTGTCCTTTTTTCTATTTTTTTTCTGTCTTTTCTTCTCCTGTGTCACCATCTGCCTGTCACATAAATGTCTCACTTTCTTTTTCACTCCCTGTGTATCTGATTACAATCAATCTGTCTCTATGCCTAATCTTTACCCCTTGCCTCCTCTTATCACTAAGGCATAGAGTGTGTGTGTGTGTGTGTGTGTGTGTGTGTGCACATCTTTAATTATATAAGGTGGAGAGCTGTCTGGAGTCCTGGGAGGGGTGGGAGACATCAGGTCTTGGCGGGACTGAAAGAGATCTATCATCATTTCTTTCCAACTCCTGCCCTAGCATCTTCTCTTTTAAGTAGGCCATTGACTATGAGATTAATTGATACTGTAAAAAAAAAATCCTGCTTTCAGGTGACAGGCTAGATTGTATTGAGCTAGAAACAATGCAAAGGGGACAACTTTACTAGGAGGGGGTTGGCAAGAAGTCATCCACTTCAAGACCTATCTCCCTAGCCTATTCCCCAGTTCATATCCAGCCCTAATGGTAATCCTGAGCCTCTTCAGTTCCATGTGGCCTGGCCTAGCTCCCTTCCCTCTGGGAAATGCTTGTCACATCCCCATATTGCCTGCCTGCACACAGCAGGCACTCTCCTAGTCCTAAAGCTGTTCTTTCAGCAAATCCAGGGCGAATACTTTCGTACAGCTCTCTGCCCTCACCGTTCAGTCTAGTTCTTCAGCCAAATAACTTGGCATCTTTTCAGCAGGAGCCTACTTTGTGCATGTTACTGACCTTTTAGAGATGGTACCTACCTACCCTATCCTTGTGGAGCTTCTGTTCTAATGGGGTGAGACAATAATCTAAATTTGAAAAGTAAATGATAGGGGCTGGAGAGATGGCTCAGTGGTTAAGAGCACTGACTGCTCTTCCAGAGGTCCTGAGTTCAAATCCCAGCAACCACATGGTGGCTCACAACCATCCGTAATGAGATTGGATGCCCTCTTCTGGTGTGTCTGAAGACAGCTACAGTGTACTCATAAATAAAATAAAATTTAAAAAAAAAGAAAAGTAAATGATATAATTAGAAGAGATAAATTCTGGTGAGAAAAGGGGCATGGAGATGCTCTGACCTTTTACCTGGATTACTAATGAAGCGTCACTAATCTCACTTCATCTACCTTTATGGAACATGCCCTGTTTTCCCAGCAACAAGTAGAATTTTATTCAACTCTGAACCAGAATCACATCTTATCTTTGTTCAAAAGCCTCCCAGGTAATTCTATATCACAGTCCTCACTATGGCCTCTATGCTGCATCCTTACCAACTCTCTGACTGATATCACCTCCTAACACTTGCCCCTTGCTCAATACTCCACGCACCATGGCTTCCTTGCTCCTTCCCAGTGCGCCAGGGATAGCTCCATCTCATAGCCTTTATTCTGACTGTTTTTTTTTCTGCCTAGAGTTCTAGTATCCCAAACAGTCACAGGACTTACATCCTCACCTGTTTGCTTAGATGACTCCTCCTTTGTGAAGTCTTCCCTATCCACCTCATCAGCAACTGCAGTACCTTCCTCACCTCTAGCACTTTAAATCCTCTTCCCCTACTTTACAATATTTTACAATATTGTCATCAGCTGACCTACCAGCTTCACCTGTCTCTTCTTGTGACCTAGAATGTCAATTATACAAGAGTAGGGATCTGTTTGGTTGTTGTTGTTGTTTTTGGTTGGTTGGTTTTTGGGGTTTGGTTTGGTTTGGTTTGGTTTGGTTTGGTTTGGTTTGGTTTGGTTTGGTTTGGTTTGGTTTGGTTTGGTTT